CAACTGTATAAACTGTTAATTTTAAATATATAACATTTTCATATATTTTAAAAAGGTTACTAGCTAGTTAATTGGTCGGTCGGTCAGTCAGTCGGTCGTCATTAACCGTCGGTTATAACCGCGGTCGGTCGGTCATTGAGCAATAACCGGGCGGTTATTGACCATGACCGACCATGACCGACCGTTGCCATCCCTAGTCTCAACTGTTATTTGTGTTTTGTAACAACTCATCCATGTGGAAAAATCTAAGATTACATCATTATCCCATTGATTTTCAAAATCCTTAAATAATTTCTGAACATTGCTTATGAATCCAAGATGATATTTTTTTGACATTAAAGCCTTAGTAACGAATTGCCGATTGCGTCTCCATTTTTGAGAATTATTGTTAAATATCGTGCCATTTAATACATCAAACTCTTCAAAGGATCCAATGTTGCGCTTAAAAAATTTTGAATCATTTGTTAAATTCTTTGATTCATTATATGACAAATATACATTATTGAGATATTTTGAATCGCATATCACAATAACCCGCAGTTGGCCAATGTAACACTCCCAAATATCATCTGAATCTTTTAAATTCTTTTTTACCCATTTATTGGGATCTACGCCAATTTGAAAAAATGTTCCGACAAATGGTAACGGAAATGGGCTATGAAGAGGGTTCGGACGAGTAAAATAACAAAAGTAAAAATATACAACATATAAAACGAGAAATATTTCGATAAAAATTAAGATTGCCATAATTCCAACGACACAAATTTTTTAGCTATACAAAATTTTTGTTAAGGAGGGTTGGTCAGTTAAATCAGTGCTAATTCAAATATGTACTGTACGTTATAAACGGTTACACGAAAACCAATTTTAAATAATATGCGGTAAATTTAAGCTGTTTATCGTGATGTATACAGTAACATATTTATACTTTAATAAGCCTGCCAGTCGGGATGGCAAAAATCATGATTTAAATCAAATTTTGTGATTAAAAAATGATTTCCAAATGATTTGAAACATTTGATCTTTATTGCGTAATTCAATTACTGTATTTATATTCAAATTCAGACTTTGAATGCAACATAATATAGTGTTCTATAAAGGTTATATCTTTTTGCAAAGCGTAATAACAAAAGATTTAAATCTGCTTTAAATTGATTTAAATAAAAATCAGTGATTTATATAATCGTGATTTAAAGCATATGTGGTTATACTTGCCGCTCTAATCTCAAACTCAAGCCCAAACTATTATCTCAAAAACTTTATTAATAATCTTTATTTAAACAAATGATATATATTCTTATAGCTATATGTAATATATTTACAAAATATTAAATTATTTTTTTTATAAAAGCAGTTTGTTTTTTGGAGGTTTGGGATTTGTCCGGGTTTGGGCGGCAAGTATACATGTGGTATGTTGAAATTTTACAGACAGCAAAAACTCGCCTCTGATAAAACTTTTTATAATTGTGACTAATCTTACCAAAATTTTTTAGCATATAATTTGGTTTCTTATTTATAGCATCAAAATTATGAATATTGTATCTTTTAAAAATCCCACCTTTGTAAATTGATAAAAAAAAAAAACTTAGTCATGCCCAAATTTTCTTAGGTCACACAAAAATCACAGATTCTGATTGGTCAAATCATTGTTCTTATATTTTTGATGCTCCTGTGCTTACTTCTAAACATTGTTATGACAAAATGTCATAACTAGCTTGGGTACTAACATTATTACAAAATTACAAAATACAGTAAAGTATATTTACTTTAATAAACTTACACATTGTTAGAATCATTACCTTATTCTTGCATAATGATTTTTTTAGCTTAATCAAGTCTATTAAAATATATAAAAATAGGGTTATTCTTGGTAAATAAAGGCAGATTTTCTTTTGCACAATAAAAATAAATAAGAAAAATACCTTCTATCCATTGTCACTTGTTCATTATTATAATTATTTAATGCTTGCGACCTACAGTTAAATTGGCAGTGCAATAGGACAATATCTCCCTTGTCGTAACAACATACACCAAAATTTTACTTTTACTATAATAACATGCAAAATTAAAAAAATTAAAGTTCACATTAAAAAATGATCTATGGTGTTACGTCCAAAATTGGAAGTGTGTTCAACAAACAAGATATCGCATGATCAACCACAGGGAGACATAAAAGATTGAACCTAGCTGCTGCAACAAAATTTCACGGATAATCCTCGATTTTGATTGGCTATGAGCGACGATCAATAATTTAGGCAAAAATTACTCGAAATTTTACTCAGCCGCACATTAAGTGAAAAATATTCCTGGTAGTGTTCTGTGAACCTGAACCGAAGACCTGAACCTAACCTGGACCCGACCCTCGGGTCAGGTCAGATCCATGATTTATTTGACCCATCCGAGTTCGGGTCTCTATCGTGACCTAGACCGAAAATATCCGGACCGACCCGACAAGTATTGTTGTATAAAAATAGACTTTTTTTTTCTTATTATTAGACATCCATTGTTAAATCCATCCTTAATTGAAGTTATTCTTTTTTCTATCCTTTTACAAATTAGTTTAGTAAGGTACCATAATAATAATATAGTTGTTTTTTCTTTAAACTAAACCTGATATACTGTCACGATGACGATCAAACCCCTGTATATTATATTCGAGAAATGTTGGGAGTCAATAAGTTAGAGTTCGATCATTGAATTCAGTATGCATGTGATCATGTAGGCAAGTATAATTGGCTTGAGTATAAGTGCAAATTGGTCAAATCTGAAATGTGACACAGAATAGTCTATAGTTTATTGCATTAAAAATGAATAATCAATTTGTAGTCTAATAAAAGTAAAATATGTATAAATAGAGTAAGGGGGTTAGTAAGTCTTTACGCTCTTTTCACTTAATACAAATAAAGAGAAAAATACCTGTTCGCTTGATCTTTCATTTCTTGTAACCTAAGTTGTTGTGGTGTTGTAATAAAGGTGTTGTAGGTGTAATTAAAGACAGATTAAAGTGCTTCTTGACACTGTGTGTATGTAGGTAAAATCCGAAGCTGTTGCAAATTGAGTTAGATTACAAAAGACAAACCCAGCTTTTGTTAACCCACTGTGAACTTTATATAAAAGTAGGAATTTAGGTATATAAAAAAAAAAATATGTCTAGCTTGTTTGTAGTTTCATATGATGAATTTTACGATGAACTTTATGATGAACCATATGATGAACCTTACAATAAACCTTATAATGAATCTTTTGATAAACCTTATGATGAATCTTGCAATAAAACTCAGAAGCCAATAAAGCCAACAAATATGATTTGCTTGGATGAATCTGAAAATGATGAATTACTATTTCCAACAACTGAAACCAATAGGTAAATAATTACTTTATTTAAAACCTTAGTATTAATTTTATCTTATATACTTATGTATTTGTTTATAGGTCGCTTGTGTGGAACCATTTTAAAAAAAAAAAATTCAAAATAAAGATGGGTTAGATGAATTAACTGCAATATGTAACTATTGTAATAAATATTTAAAAATACAAGAGGATGGATCCACTTCAAGCTTCTGAAAACACCTTGTACGCCATCACAAAAATAATGTACCAGAGTTAAAAGGATCAAAAGAATCTGACATAAAGCAGAACGTTTCTGTGTTAGATATGCTAAAAAACAAAGTTGTAAGTTATTAAAAAAAATTACAAATATGCAATTACACCAATTTATTGATATATATTCTTATACTATCTTTGAAAATACTAATAATTATTAGGCTGCAAATCACCATTGTAAACCCTTTGACTCTAAGAAATTTAATGATCTTGTTAAGCGATAGGTAATTAAGCATAATCGACCATTTCATATAGTTGAAGATGATGGTCTTAGATTGATATTTATATATTTGGAGCCTAAAGCATTCAGTAAATTTTTTTGTTATTTAATATCTACCTAAATATTATTTGTTGTGTGTCAAATTAATATTTGCATCAAACTAAAATAATTATAGTCCCACTAATATTTACTCTAACCATAATACTGATGCAAATTCTTTGACTTGAACTTTTTTTAAGATTATTTTTTATAAATAATAACATTATATTCTTTATTTTTATAATTTGTTAGCACCATCCTCAGATTTAATAAAAAGGCATATCACTAACAATTTCGAAGAAGAACTTGAGCGATTCTGAAAAAAGTTACAAGAAGTTCCTGGACGTGTAGCACTCACGACTGATATCTGGACGACCAATAATAATGACAAATCATTCATGGCAGTCACCATTCATAATTTAAATGCATCGTGGTCTATAAAACACCTTTTACTCAATTTTATCCATATAGATGGACAACATATAGGTGCTGAAATTGCTGATACTATAGAAACCTGTCTTCAATCTATAGGAATTGTTTCAAAAATAAGCACAATTATGTGTGACAATGCATATTCTAATGACAAATTTTTACAAGATTTTTCTAATTCTATTTCATCAGCTGGTATTTATTTTGATAGCAAACAACAATCAATACGATGCTTTGCCCACGTCTTAAATCTTGCAATACAAAGCATTTTTAAAAATATAGGCAATGAATTAGAAATGGTTAACATTATTTATTTATTTATTTATTTATTTATTTATTTATTTATTTATTTATTTATTTATTTATTTATTTATTTATTTAT